TCTAAAGAGTTGTAGACAAAATGCCAATACATGTAATTATTCCATCCATTAATTAGGTAGGTGCAGCTACTCGTTCATACTCCAAATAAAAAGTGATAAACTATTTAAAAAATATCTGTTTAGTCGGTGCAAGAAATGGAAATGTAACTGCTTCACACGACCGTTGGATTTCTTTCGTTACAAGTTTTGATTAAGCGTTGGCTTATTGTTAAGAACTCCACGTGCAGTTCTTTCTAACAAAAAAACGGTTATCCAAACGAAAATAATATGACTCAATCTTTTGGTCGGTTTGTTTATTACAAAGCAGAGACCTGATCGGACTAATGATATTGTACGTGGCATAAGGACTTTGACTGTTCTTGCTTAGTTTACGAGTGAGAGAAACCAAATCCACAAATCACCTGACCAACCTGTTTGTCGCATACACTATGACATTTCCACAAATTCTTACGTTTTCCACCTAGTTTTTATTTTACAAATTAAGGTCTCCGATCCGTTATAATTTTATTTTATGTTTGAAAATGTCAATGCTTAGACAATGCATGTCTCGGATCTTTCGACTACATTTGACTATTTGAGTGGCAAACAGGGAAAGATTATAATTTTTCATTTCTTCTAAAATTTAAAAATTATTTTTAGAGCAAATTGATAAACCTAAAAATTGATCTCATCAAAAAAAACATAGAAGTAAATATAATCAGCATTTTTCTTGACCACTTCGCTATGAAACATACGGTTTCAGAGAAGTAGCGATAAAGAACCTAGATCTTTGTAAGAAAACTCAATCGGAAAGTCACGGTAGGAGAAACAACTTAAACAATCGTAAACCACTACCACGCAATCAGAAGCTCTTTCATCCGATAGCCCGAAAACGTAGCTCTTTAAACCTTGGAGATAACAAGCAACAAAACAAAGATTGTTCTCATGCCAGTGTACGAAACTTGCCAGCTAACCTTAGAAACCAATGCTAAGAGGGAAATACGCTAGCCGAACGAATCAAATGAGCTCAGATGCTCTACCAAGACCATTTCTTCGGTGTCAGCTAGTGCTTAACTTTGCGACAACCAAATCGACAGCCTTACTAACTCCTCCAAAAACGATGATAGCGCAACACAAGCAAACGCGAGGAAAACCTAAACCAGTCTCACTAACATAATCGATACTCGTAACACTAGATAACATATGGCACTACATTA